TTTCTCGAGAGAGAAAAATCTTGGAGGGATATGCTTCGTCCGATCACTTTTGATATAACCTTTCTTAAGTTGAGCGACGCATGCATCATTTTCTTCAAATACTTATGTTGGCTCTTTCTTTGTCTGTACTCCGCTTGCATCTTGTATATGATGAATTATAGATCTGAGCCATACGCATTTCCTACAAGCTTCATATAATGCAATAGTTTCTGCATAATTTGAAAACGTAGCAACCAAAGTTTGCTTTTGGGAATGCCAAGAGATCGTGGTTCCTTCAATCGTAAAAATATATCAGTTTGCGATCGAGCATTATGTGGGTCTGATAAATATCCTGCATCTGCAAAACCAATCAGACCAAACTATGGGTTTCTAGAATACAATAAACCAAATTCAATGGTACCTCGTAAATAACGGAATATATATTTTATTTTGTTCCAATGTTGGCGAGTTGGAGATGAGTTGTATCTTGTATGTAAATTAGTAGCAAAAGCTATATCAGGTCTAGTACAATTTGAAACATACATCAGCCCACTGCTAGCGCTCATATAAGGTACTTCAAGACCAACTATTTCTTCACTATCTTAACATGACCGAAATGTATCTTTATCAACATCAAGCAATCTATTGACCATGGGAGTACTCAAAAGAGTCACTTTATCCATGCTAAAGTGTTTTAAGATCCTTTTTGTATAATTTCATTGATGCACAAATATTCCATCTTAGAAATGCTCTATATGTAGTCCACGACAAAACTTTGGCTTTCCAAGATCTTTCATTTCGAACTCTTCTTTCATATGAGTTCTTGCATAATCAATCTCTTTTTGAGTACCTATTATATTCATGTCATTAACATAAACAACAATGATCACAAATCCTAATGTGGATTTCTTAATAAACACACAAGGGCATATCACATTGTTGATGTAACTTTTACTCAACAAATACTCACTTTTGCGATTATACCACATCCATCCGAATTGTTTCAATCCGTAGAGTGATCGTTGTAATTTGATCGCACACATCTCTTTAGATGTTGATCTTAATGCTTCCAGCATTTTTAAATTTTCAGGGGTTTTTATATATATATATCATTCTCAAGTGATCCATATAGATATGATGTCACAACATCAATGAGATACATCTCTAGATTCTTGGATGATGTTAGACTCATTAAGAATCTAAATTTTATTGCATCCATTGCCGGAGAATATGTTTTTTCATAATCTATTCCCGTTCTTTGAGAAAAATCTTGTGCCACAAACCTTGATTTATACCTTGTGACCTCATTTTTCTCATTTTTCTTTCTTGCAAAGACCCATTTGTATCTGACAGGCATTACATGATACGGTGTTGTGTCAATAGGTCTAAAAACCTTTCTTTTATTTAGGAAGAATAATTCTGTTTCAATGGCCATCTTCCATTTCTCCCAATCATGTCTTTTCATACATTCTCATATGGACCTTGGATCTGAATCATCGCTTTCAGGCTCTTTAGATACAAAAAAAGAGAATATTCAATCAATATCTTTTATTTTATCCTTGATCTATAATTCTTCACTTTAGGCGTAACTGATGGAAATCTTATATTTTTCTGTTTCATATTCGTCTCCAAGACGAATCTCTTTACCTGGTTCTTCTAGAACCTTTTCACAAATGTCTTCAGGATATTTTTTTTTTAATTGTTCTTCTAAAACCTCTTTACTTTGTTCTCCTATTTTTTTTTCTTTTGGTGAATTTTATTTTTAGAACCCATCGGTCTCCCTCTTTTCAACAGAACTCTAGGTTCATTCGTTATGTTTCCATCAATGTGTTCTTCAGAAACATTTGCTGCTGGCATATATAATTATTTTCACCCTCTTTGTGTATGTGAATGCATCTGGTAATTGGTTTGCACTATTTTGCATATGTATAATTTTCTGAACTTCCATCTTACGTTGATTGGTAGGAGGATCAAGATAGGACAAATATTTTTTACACCATGTGATATCTTTTGGTGATTCTCTCAATCCTCCCCCTAACGTGGAGAATTTATCTTCATTAAAATGGCAATCAGGTAAACGTGCCGTAAACATATCATTAGTTACTGGTTCAAGATACATAATTATACTCGGTGACGTATAATCGATGTATATTCCCCTTCTTCTTTGTGGTGCCATTTTTGTTCTCTGCGGTGGGTCTATTGAAACATAAACCGCACACCCAACAATACAAAGATGATATAAATTTGGCTCATGTCCAGATACAAACTGTAATGGAGAATACTCATTATATGCACTTGACTGTATCTGGAGCTGGGCCACAACATGCAATTAGCATGTCCCCATATATTAATTGGGTGTTTTGTTCTCAATATTAACGGCCTTGCAATCCATTGCCACTGTTTAATCAATGACTCAGCCATGCCATTTTGTGTATAAACATATGGAACTCGATGCTCAACATCGAATCCTAAAGACATACAATAATCATTAAACATCTGTGAAGTGAATACAACAGCGTTATCCAGTCTTACTTTCTTTATGGAATAATCAGGGAGTTGCGCTTTCAACCTGATTATTTGGGAAATGAGTTTTAGAAAAAACCGTATTTTGTGTTGTCAATACACACACATGTGACATCTACTACATGCGTCAATCAAAGCTATAAAATATCTAAATGGCTCGCATTGTGGGTGGATGGGCCCACATATATCACCATGTATTATTTTCAAAAATTCTGGTGATTCATTTCCAATTTTGGCTGGTGATGGCCGAGTTACGAGTTTTCCTTGAGAACAAGCATTACATAAAAACTCGCACATTTGTAATATTTTCTCGTTTTTCAACATATGACCATTAGAGTTTTGCACAATCTTTTTCATCATGACTGAACCAGGATGACCTAATCTTTCATGCCAAACTTAAATGTACTAGTAAACTTCTGGTTTACTGTAATATATGATTCAGTCATGTTTATTTTTGTGCAATATAATTCAGAGGATAATATTTTTAATTCTTCCGATATATGTTTACTCTGTGATGTAATGCATACATATTAAATGCTATTCTTATTCATAGTCTCTATATGATATCCATTTGTACGGATATCTTTGAAACTTTATAAGTTTGTGTAAAACTTTGAAAGAATATAACATATCATTTATCTCAAACTTTGTTCCCCTTGGCATTGAAAATTTGACTTTTCCGGAGCCCATTATAATCTTTGCATTACGAGATATTGTATTTACGCTTCCAGCGGAATCTTTCATTTTGAGACTGGAATAATACTTTTTTATTTTTAATAATCGTGTGCGTTGTAGCATTGTTTGCCAGACATATATCTCCATCCAATATCTTAAATTCTGGCATTTTTTGAATATAAAATATTCATAAAAATGCATTAATAAGTTTTAAGAACTTACCTGGCAATACAACTTATTGTACAATAGAACCTACAACAAAACATTAAATTCGAAAGCATATAATACATCAAAATCAGTAAACTTTTTTTTTTCATGTCTTCTTTAGGAAGACGTCATATTACATTGATTTCGTCGCTTTGTTTCGGTTGATCCTTCTAGATCAACTTAGAAATCTGAAACATCGAGATGAGTATCGTCATCAAGGCCATGGAAAGAAGGTCTGGGATTATCAGAAAGGAAGTTCATTTCCCTTTCTTTCTCTTTTGCCTTCTGTGATTTCCGGTATAGATTGGCTAAATATGTTGACGTACGACAAGTACGTACCCAATGTCCTTTCATGACGCATTTGAAACAAACAGTTTTCTTTTTCCTTTTCATTTCCCAGCCATCATCACCATCATCATGAAAATTTTTACCATCTTTTTTCATGATTGAAATCATGTGGATGATATCCTCTTCCTCGTCCATGTCTGTATCCACGTCCACGACTTTGACCACGGTATTAACCGCGTCTGCGTTCTTGCCAATTATTATAGCTGGATGATGCAACCTTCGCTTCTGGGAATGGTGCAGTAACTGTTGGATGGCTTTGATAGTTCATCATCACGAGCTCATTATTCTGCTTTGCAACAAGCAGAACATGCATTAACTCCCGAATGACGGGTATATCCATTTGCCCGATATTGTTGTTGCAGGACTACATTTTCTGGGTGAAATGTGGAGAGAGTTTTTTCAGTCATATCATAATCTCTTATAACTTCTCCACATAACACCATTCTGAATGTTATACCAAACATCGCAGAATTATAATCACTAACATTTTTGTAGTCCTGAAACCGGAGATATAACCACTTATATCTTGTTTTTGGTAAGATCACATAGTTATGGTGATCAGATCTTTTTTTAAGTGACTGTCAGAGATCTGCAAGATCTTCTTTGATGATGTACTTATCTTTTAAACCATTATGGATATGATAACGTAAAAATATCATGGTTCTTGTCTTTTTCTCATCTGATGGTTTTGACTTATCGATGGTATCCAGAACCCCATTTTTTTTATATGCATTTTTGTACCTATTGCCCATGTCATATAATTTTTTCCAGTAATATAAATAGCAGCGATTTCGAGCTTTGCGAGATTTGACATTATAACTGAATAACAAAAGTTTAATTCGTTAAATCAAAAATTAAAAATTTGAGCATAGTATCAACATAATAACAGACAATAATTGATAGCAATATGAGTAGGCAAAGCCTACTATACAATACAATTGCAGATTGCATAATAAATAATTGAACGAAGATGAGGATTTTAATCTCTCATGCAATATATAAATAAACAAATAAAGATGAAGGTTTTAATCTTACACTATATATATGATCTGAAGAGATATATCTGAGAAAACATAGTGTACCACCTGATCATTTAAATTGTGAAGGTAGAGCTTACCATCATAATCAGCTCAGATCAGCTCTAAATGTGTAAAGAAAGAATAAAACATAATTTTTACATAATTTTTTTAATTTGTATAAAATGTGTTAAAATGATATTTTTTTATAATACCGAAAGTATTATTTAAATGTTTTGCTATCTTTTTTATATGAAATTCATCTATAATATTTTCCGGAAAATAAAAAAGTAAAAGAAATTGGAGAATTTGGTGGGAAAAAAAAACAAAATGTAAAAGAATAGACAGGAGAGTTATTTTTCTTATTCCTATTTCGATCCCTTTCCACTTCTGTTGAGCATCCCGAGCTGTGATGAATCTTGCTTTTGGTTTTGGTGTTTTGATCTCTTTCTATCGTTAATCTCTGGATTCTCTGAGAAAATATCGGTGGAGCTTTCTCGCGTAATCTCTCTCTCTCTCCTCTTAATGTTTTGTTCTTTCTTAAATTGTTCCTCGCTTGGCCTTGAATCCATTTGCACGGATCTCTGATCTTAAATCCCTGTTTTCATCTTCTATGATCAGAGTGCTTGGATTTTGAGCTATTTTTTGTTTTTTATATTGAAATTAAGGATTTGTGTTGTTTTTAATACCAAATCGGATCATTTTTCTTATGTATCTTCAGCTCACTCGAGCTCTGATTTCGTCTGATATTGTTGAAAATGTAGTTGCTTTTTGATTTGTATTAATTGTTAATAATTGGGATTTAAATTCCTAGAATTTGATAGGGGATCTTCTGTGGTAGGATCCAATGAAAGAAACGAAGTAAAACTACAAGGCATGATTTAGCTGTGAAAATCCAAAAGCTACTTTAGGAACTTTCTAATTTAGTGTTTGTAAGATGCGTTTCTCGTTTCTGGTTTCTATGTGTGGATTTCTCATTATCTGTCTTGTTTCTCTTAACCGTTCAGGCGGGGGAGCTTGGTTGCTTTAAATTGAAAGAGAGGAGTTACGTGACGGCGACCACGGCTACTAAAAATAAATCCCAGCCACCACCGTCGGGGGTAATTCCGTAATTTTTGAACAGCACTTCATTCCCGCGGCGTAGGCGGAAGGGTAATTCAGTCAATTAAGTGATCTCCGGTGATGAATCAGATCCACTCCCTCACGCCAGAGTGAATTTCACGGTGTTCTCTTCCCGCCCAAAAAAACAAAACATGAAAACGAATCACGGCGGCGTAGAGCACGGCCACCATCACGAGGCTCTGAAGTTTTCCAGTTTCTTCTTTATGCCGGAACGGTCACGTGATTACCTCGTGCTTTTCGCTCGCTTCTCCCTCCTATCATGCCTCATCGTCTCCGTCTCTCTGGTTCTTCGCGCCGCTTTTTTATATTCATCTGGCCAGGACTATTCTTCCTACGGTCTCCGATTCCCCACCGTGCCTCAGAAATCCCTGTCTCTCCCGCCCACCGGATCCGTCGGGCCGAGCAATATCTCCCACATCCAGTTCTGTATCGCCGGAGCAGCCGAGAGCTGGCTTGATCGGAGCCAGTACACCTCCTTGTGGTGGCGCAATTCCACTCGTGGATTTGTCTGGCTCGATAAACCGGTGAAAATTCCCAAAAATCACTCTGATTCCCGTTTCTCAATCCCGATTCGAGTTTCCGATCCAGGATGGACTCGATTTAGATTCTCCAGCTCGAGAGCTGCGGTTCGGATTGCTCGGATAATTTGGGATAGTTACCGGCTAAATCTCATGGATGTGCGGTGGTTCGTGATGGGAGATGACGACACCGTCTTTTTCGCCGATAATCTCGTCAAGGTTCTCTCCAAGTACGACCATGAGCAGATGTGGTACATCGGTGGAAACTCGGAGAGCGTCGAGCAGGATGTGATGCACGCCTACGACATGGCGTTTGGCGGCGGTGGTTTCGCCATTAGCCGTCCACTGGCGACGCGTTTGGCCGCCGCGATGGACGGTTGCCTGCAACGGTATTTCTATTTCTACGGGTCGGATCAAAGAATCGCGTCTTGCGTTAGCGAGATCGGCGTTCCGTTCACCGAAGAACGCGGTTTTCACCAGGTACGCGCTTAGTTAAACACGCGTCAGCTTTTCGATTGGTTGTTTGTATACACGTGTCAAACATTTTTGATTTCGTTTTCTGGAGCCCGACAAATTCTAAAGGTTTTTGTTGCTAAATCAGTTGGTTAAATGGAATGTTGCCACGTCGATTTTCTTAACGTAGTTGCTAAAAATGAAGCATTTAGGATTTGAGTTGTTCAACTAGTCACAGTGACTACACAAATGTTGACAAAAAAGGAGAATACTGTCACTTAGTTATAGACATTAATACTTAGTAGGATGTTCATCTAAGAATTGATTAATCAAATTGAAGCGACAGTTTAAAGTTTAAATTTGTTGGGTTTAGTTTATAGCTGGATCACATGATTCTGTCATACAAAGCTTTTAATCATACTGATCAGCTTTAAATAATTTGCTTATTTCTAATCTTATCTTATCTCTGTTTCTAAGATATTTTATGTATATTATCTCAAGACTTTAATTGTGTGTACGTGCGTGTCATTATCACTCATCACGGGTAGTGTCTCAACTGTCAAGGAAAATTTCATTTTTTTTTTCCAATATCGTCGTGTAGTGTAGTCCAGTCATAACATCTACTTTCTATTTTTTTCCAAAATCGTCGTGTAGTGTAGAGGTAAGCATATTATCCGTTATATTTGATTTGATTCGTTATTAGCTTCTATTCGATTCGAAAAATTTGGATATTTATAACGATTCAAAACAAAACAAACATTAAAATATATTATCTGTCTAAAATAAATCAAATCGCAAATATTAATTTTCGAAAGTTCGGATATCCGCTCCGATCCGCAGATTACATATATAGATATTAATATCATATATTTTTAATGTTTTTATATAGTTTTAGTTATCTACAACAAATATAAAAAGATATATATAATAAAAAATACATATAATAATTTTAAAGTAAGTAATAAACATCCACAGTAGTTATCAAATATTTGAAAATAAATTAGAAAAGTTTATATTAGAGTTTTAATTAATTAATATTCTTTTCAAAATATAAAACATGATTTTTCTTTTTCTACTATTATAATATATTATTTATATCCGTTCTTCTGGAATAAAAATAGTTATTTCACTTATTTTTAATTAGCAGTTCATATTTTATAAAATAAATACATGTATTTTCACCTTTTGCTTGTATTGAATAGAACAAATTTAATATTTATAGATATCCGTAAATATCTGCAAATATCCGCAAATATTTGTAATTTTTTCGGATATCCATATTTTTTCGGAGCAAAACAAATTACAAAATCAAATATCCGGTAAAAACAGAGCAAACCACAAATACTCAAAATTTTCCGGATATCTGCTTCGCACCCAGAACTAGTGTAGTGTAGTCCAGTCATGACATCTACTTTTTTTTTGTAATGGATAGATGTTTGGTTTAGAATTTTCACAAATACTAAAAAATAAATTAAAACATGATTACAAAATATATTTTTTGTGATTAATAATTTCTTTTAGAATTTTCTTTTCTGGAGGGACGTTTTGCTCTGAAGGTGATTGGAAAAACGATTAGGGTTTTACTTTTTTCCCCACTACGAAACACTGTTGCTACTGGCTATACTTTCCTTAACAGAGGAAATGGCCACGCCGGTGGCTGTAGAGGATACGGAGGCTAGTTCTCCAACAGTTACGGCTCCAGTTACAGTTCAGAAAGGGATCGTGGGAAAATGTGGTGCAGTCGAAGAAGACACTAACAAAATATGAGTTGGACATCTCGATTGAAGAAGAGATGGGTTTCGTCAAAGTTCCCGATGAGATTTTCCAAGACTCCTCACCACTATGGGAAGACTTTTTGATAGGGAGATTCCTAGCGACAGCCCCACATGTTGCTAAGATTCACCAAATTGTTAATAAAATTTGGGCACAAGGCGATAAATCACAGATGATTGACGTTTTTGTGGTCAACTCAACAACAATGAAGTTTAAGATCAGTAACCCAAACACGAGATATAGAGTTTTGAGAAGAGGGATGTGGAACATAGCAGAAATACCAGTTGTTATGTCAAAATGATCTCTTTTCACAGAGGAGAAATCTCCCGAGATTACATCAGTACCATTGTGGGTTCACTTCAAAAATGTTCCGATGAACATGTTCTCTTGGAAAGGGCTCTGTTTCATCACAAGTGTGGTGGGGGTACCAGCGAGACTGCATCCCGACACTGCTCAATGTTTGGACTTCAAGGTGGCGAAAGTTTTTGTCAAGGCTGATCTCTCAAAGGAGCTGCAAAAGTCAATTAATTTTAACTAGCAAGGAGCAAATACTCTTGTTGACTTCACATACCCATGGCTACCACCAAAGTGTGCTACATGTGATAAGTGGGGACACCTTACGACAGTTTGTCTTGTCAATGCAGCTCAGAGGGAGGAACAGAACTACTCACCGGCCATTGTGCATACACCAACGTCTAATCCACACTTAGTCAGAGAAGAAGTAGCAGTAACCAAAACTCAGGAAACTTAAAAGGAGCCAACGCCGGTGGAGGATAAGGAAGAGGGAGAATGGTCTATACCATCAAAACCGAGTCGCAGTCCAACTAAACCAACATAATTGACTTATGGTCACATTTCGATTTTAACCCCTTCCCGCTATGCAGTGTTGAGTACAGAGGAGACTGTGTTATAGGAAACAGAAAAACCTCTAGAGGCGACACAAGTTGATGATCATGATGAGGGAAGTGAGGTAAACGGCAATGATGAACATGTAGTGGAAACAAGTGAAGATGGCAGAGTAAGGTGGTTGAAATAGGGGAAACAGAGGACCCGCCTACTCGAGTCCAATAAAATAAAGAAGAAAGCGTTGCCTACAAGACTACTTTTGCCGCAAAATTCAAAGGAGAACCATAGTGTTCTCAAGAAAGGTATCCACACTCGCAAATCCAATTAATGTCGGGCTTTTTTTGGAATGTACGTGGATTTAATCAATCAACATAGCATTCTGTCGCTCGGGATTGGATTAAACGATGTGGTTTTCAATTTGGATGTTTCATTGAGACGAGAGTTAAGGAAAGAAAGGTGGCGCAAATAGTTTCATCTGTTTGTAGAGACTGGTCCTACATCTCAAATTACGAGTTCAATAGTAGAGGAAGGCTGTGGGTTGTATGGAATCCCCAAGTGCGAGTCACTCCTTGCTTTACAAGTGCACATGTAATAACCCGCTCTATCCGGCTAGATGGTGAAGATGATGAATTTTTTTGCTCTTTCGTTTATGCTTCTAATCTGATGGACGAAAGAAAGGAGCTCTTGGCGGATCTGAGAAATCACCAAGACTCAGCTATGCTTAGGAATAAGCCTTGGATGATATTTGGTGATTTTAATGAGATACTATATGGGGAGGAGCATTCAAATTTCTCCATTTCGCCGGCTATACCAGCAGGCATGCGAGATTTGCAGGATACCACACGATACTGCTTTCTTTTGGACATGAAGTTTCATGGTCCGTTATTCACATGGTGTAATAAAAGAGAGGAGGATGGAGAGTTGATTTGTAAAAAATTGGATCGAGTTCTGACTAACGATGCATAGTCGGATAAGTACACTGAATCGTACAGTGTATTCGAGCCTGGTGGATGTTCGGATCACCTCAGATGTCTTATTCGGATCCTTGCGGATACCTAAGTGCGACGCAAGAAGCCCTTCAAATTCACCAACGCTCTGGCAACTACAGCTGGATTCCTATCACTTGTAGAATCAGCCTGGCGAGAGACATGACCTCTGTTCAATTCTACTTCAACACTGCATCGTTTCTCTAAGAAACTTAAGGACCTTAAGCTAAAAATTCGTCAATTGAGTAAAGATCTACTAGGAGATCTAACAAAGCGCACAAAAGAAGCCCACCACCTCCTATGTGAATGCCAAGAAAAAAAAATGTCCCAAATAACAAGTGTCCTGGTCCTGATGGCTTCACAGTCGAATTTTTCAAAGAGGCGTGGTCTATTGCAGGGAAAGAATTTGTTATCGCTATAAATTATTTCTTTAACAGAGGATTTCTTCCCAAGGGAATAAAATCTACAATACTCGCTCTAATTCCTAAGACAACTGCAGCTAAAAAAATGAAAGACTTTAGACCGATTTCCTGTTGTAATGTACTCTAAAAAGTGATATCAAAGCTCCTAGCCAACCGTATGTAGCAACTGCTGCCCAAGTTTGTTGCTCCAAATCAGTCGGCATTTGTGAAAGATAGGATGCTCATGGAAAATGTGTTGTTAGCCTCTGAGTTAGTCAAAACCTATCATAAGGATTCAGTATCCCCCAAATGTGCAGTAAAAATTGATATCTCCAAAGCTTTTGATTCAGTGCAGTGGTATTTTCTACTCCCTAAACTTCCCTGAGCAGTACATACATTGGACTCGACTCTGCATCACTATTGCATATTTCTCGGTACAAGTCAATGGTGAATTAGCTGGATATTTCCAAAGCACAAGAGGACTCCGTCGAGGCTGCTCCCTCTCGCCCTATCTCTTTGTTATATGCATGAATGTTTTGTCGAAAATGCTAAATAGAGCGGCTCTGCGCAGGGAAATTGGATATCACCCAAACTGTCAAAATATACAGCTAACACACTTGTGCTTTGCAGATGATTTGTTGGTCTTCTCTGATGGGGAAAAACAATCAGTTGAAGATATCCTGCGGGTTTTTCAAGAATTCGCAGATTTTTCAGGACTGGATATAAGTTTGGAGAAATCGACCCTATTTCTAGCAGGTGTATTAGAGACATCACGGCAAGATATCCTGGACCAGTTTCCGTTTGATACAGGCATGTTACCGGTCCGGTATTTGGGTTTGCCCCTCCTCACCAAACAATGACTGTACAAGACTATACGCCTCTGCTTGAAAGAGTTAGAGCACGAATAACAACTTGGACAGCACGATTCCTATCATTTGCGTGCCGTCTCCAGCTCATCGCCTCTGTAATACAGAGCATCACTAATTTCTGGATATCTGCTTATCGTCTTCCGAAGGCGTGTATTAAAGAGATTGACAGGTTATGTGCCGCTTTCCTCTGGTCAGGTCCTGATTTGAATCCTAAGAAAGCTAAGGTTGCGTGGAGAGAAGTGTGTTTGCCTAGAACAGAAGGGGGCTTAGGTCTTCGATCTTTAACTGAAGCAAATAAAGTCAGTTGTTTAAAGCTAATCTGGAGGATCTTATCGGCTCAGTCTTCGTTTTGGGTGAATTGGGTAAGAATGTACTTAATCCGAGAAAGCTCTTTCTGGTCGATTAAATCAACATCAACCCTCGGATCTTAAATGTGGAAGAAGATACTGAAATACAGAGATCTGGCAAAGTCTCTAACCAAGATGGATGTCCATAGTGGTGCCAATACGTTTTTTTGGTTCGACGAATGAACAGATATGGGGAGACTATTCGAACTTACGGGTCCTAGAGGATGTATAAACTTGGGTATTCGCATGCACTCTTCCGTGTTATCGGTTCTTACTACGCATCGATCGAGAAGACATAGAGTGGAGTTACTAAATACTATTGAATCTGAAATACAGAAGCTTCAAAGTAAAGAGATATCTCACCAAGAAGACAAGGTCTTTTGGAAACATGTGAAGACATATAAACCGAAATTCAGCTCGAATGATACATGGATGCTCATCAGAGAAGTGCAACGACTCTGCAACTGGTCTAAGGGTATATGGTTCAAACATCACACACCCAAATACGTGTTTGTAGCCTGGCTGGCCTTGCGCAATCGTCTCGCCACCGGGGATCGAATGTCAACATGGAACGTTGCGGCTACCACCTCTTGTTCCCTTTGTCCTGAGCCATGTGAAACCCGGAGTCATATCTTCTTCACTTGCAACTACTCAGCTGCAATCTAGGGGAAATTAACGCAGAAGATGTTAGGCATTGCCTACACAACTGATTTGGATGGCATCATGGCGATTCTCCTGGATGATAGCCATGGATATGTTCACTTGTTTCTTCTGCGTTACGCTTTCCAAGCAGCCATTCATTTCATTTGGCGGGAATGGAATAGAAGGAAACATGGCGAAAATCTTCACTCAATCTCCCAAGTGGCTCTCGTCATTGACAAACAGATAAGGAATCAGATAACAAAGATTCGAAGCATCGGAAACCAGAAGTATGAAACAACCATAGAAACTTGGTTTTCATTCCAATAACTCAATTTTCAGCCTGTAAAATATTTTCGTTCTTCTTACAAAATAGCTTCAGACTAAAGTTACAGTCATTGTAAAACTAGCTTTGATTGGATTAATTTAACATTTTTATTAAAAAAAAATTATTTCTTTTATAATTTTCAATTAATAGTAATTTTATTAATTTAATTAATTTTTTTTATAAAATTTACAATTTTTCATTATTAACTAATATAAAAATGTATAAAAAAAATTAAAACATTATTTTGTGAAACAAAAATAAAATCTAAAAAAATTGTTTTAGAAACGAAGGAGTATTATTATTTGGATTGTTCATTTAGATATTCAAGATGAAATTAGTTACATCGAATATTTAACTGTTTTGAGTATTTAGAGTCAGAAAATTAAATCGATTTTTGGACTGACAACGTTTTGAATGTTTAGAGTCGGAAAATTAAATCGATTTTCGGACTGACAACATTCTTTTTTGTTATTTTGTGATGGAAAAAATAAAATAAAATTGCAGCTTGACATAAGAGGAGATCCATACGGGTTTCTAGCTGCACATCCAATGACACCGCTTGTATCACTGCATCACCTCGTATACTTAGACCCAATGTTCCCAAACAAGAACCCTATCGAGTCTTTACAAACACTTATGAAACCTTATACCTTAGACCCACATCGAATACTCCAACAGATTAATTGCCATGACCGCAAGCGCCAATGGTCGATATCCATCTCTTGGGGTTACTCCATTCAGATCTACATTTACTTCTTGACCGCTAAGGAGCTGGATACGCCTTTGCAGACCTTCAGTACTTGGCGGTCTTCGAGCGATGGACCATTCACGTTTAACACACGGCCATTGAAACCTGACCCGTGTGAGCGTCCCGTCACTTATTTCTTGGATGGTGCAGAGGATGTGCGAGGTAGTGGGACTAAAACTTGGTATAGCTTAGAGGATAAGAACTATGGTCATTGCGGTAAGAGTGAGTATTCTAGGGTAACTAGAGTTAAGAGAATATTGGTGACATCAATGAAGATGGATCCTGAGTATTGGAACAAGGTTAGTTGTTTCTTTGTTTCATATTGAAATTTAACATGCGTTTATGGGTTTTTTACTTTTTGAGGCTTTCTTTACATTTTGACAGGCACCACGGAGACAGTGTTGCGAGGTTTTGGAAGGAGGAGGAAGAAAAAAGGAGAAAGAAATGTCGATAAGGATTAGAAAGTGCAGATCTTCGGAGGAGATATAAAAAATCAAACGGTTTTTTTAATTAGAGAGATATATTTGTACATACGACTTTAGATTCGATCATTAGTTGGTCTCTAAATGCTTAGTACCAAGAAATGGCGATTTTTCTCTATTACTAACACCGGGACACTTTGTGTATTTCAGTATTTTTTAGTATTATATACTCCTGAGCCTATACAAGTCTTTGCATCATCTCTTTTTTTATGCGGAAATGTTCGTTTGATGATCACATCATAAACATAATTCGTTATAATATGGATGGAAGTTTCCGACGGTTTTATATGATCAATTTGTTATCAAAAGTTTTGTTGGAATACTGTTAGAAATTATCGAAAAATTAAGCTTTTAGGTAATTTATCGAACCCACTGCCATAAAATCGTTGAAAAAACAATTGTTACACGTGTTACTTGACATACTTTTATTAAGCTTTTAGGTAATTTATCGAACGTGATCAGTAAAAATTAAGATCATAGATCATTCCCAAAGATGAGAACTATATATTTTTTTTTTTTTTTAATAAAGGGTTTAGATGAGAATTATTCGTAAAGTTGATTAGTATCTTTAGAAAAGGATAACAGTACACCATAAATTTGTAGTATCAGCTATAACAGTGTTGATGAGTAGTAAGTAGTAACCTTCTAACATAAAAGAGATACTAGCATTCGGAAAGCTCATATTGTTCATTAGGGCATCTGTAACAGAGAGCTTTACACAAACTCTTAAAAAATAAAAAATATTATTTTTAATGATATGATGAGATTTAAATATAGAGACGTCTCTCTGCGTAGAGACTGTAGAGCCGACACTCGCTGACGTGGCGAAACATGATTCGGCGATTTTTTTTTCTTCAAAAATCGAATTTTTTTTAAAAATAATTTTTTTAATAATAAAAGAAATTTAAGAGCTTTTTCAGCAGCTCTATAATGCATATACTCTTATTGATTGTAGGTACAATTCATAATTGAAGACCAGGGTTCTAATTGCAGAAAGAGAGAACCATATAAGAGACTGTAAGAATACCTGAGGTTGCTTATCATAGTTTTTACTCAAAAAATCATAAAATAATAAAAAGCATGAGAGAGAAGAAGTAATGCTTCTTATTTAAGGAGTCTGAGAACCTTTTTTTACCTTATGAAGAATCTCACTTAATACATGTCATTTTGTGATTGGTTTACCTTTTTTTTAATTTAAAATTTTTTTTTTTTAAGATACCCTTCAACCATTTACCCGTTGGAAATGGTCTAAAAACACATCCAGTAATAAATCTGAACTAAGATATCTGATCTATATTATATAAATATAGTTTAATAATATAATTTAAATTTAAATACAAAAATGAAGGAACAAATAAAATAAAGACACATCATTGTTTTAAACGAGAAACATATCTCAGAGTTTGTTAAAGAGAAGACGTCTCTCTACCTTTCTTATGCTTTGTCATTAATTTCTATTTTTTTTATTATTAGATACTTATATGAGATATAATAATGAAGATGGTCTAAGAACACCTCGTTAGTGATATCTCACAATGGTATTTCAGAATAAAATAAAAAAAAAATTAGAAAAGCAGAAAGAAAGAAAGAAAAGAGAGAGAGATAGAAGGATATTTAATATGAGATATTCAACAATAAATATTGAAAAATGTCTCTGTGACATGTTGATTTCTAATTGGTTCTCATCTTTTAACAGTTTAAAATTTAATTATTTAATTAAATAATATTAAAATTATTAACTTTATATTTGTTAGATACTCATTTATGGTATCTGACTGCTGCGGTTGCTCTAAGATATTTACGTGAGATTGAAAAAAAATCTCTATTATTATTAATAAAAGTTGATGCTATATGCTTTTAAAAGTGTCCACATAGGATTTAAAAGGTTCAATTTTATTGGTACACATCATCAGCTATAGTTAATTATATATATTAAAATTAATTTAATTTCGTTTTATTGTTATTAGTAAAATTTCTAAAATTTAATTTATTTTCTTTTTATTGCTATTAGGAAAGTTTTTAAAATTTTAGATAATTATTAATAAAAACGAGTTTAACAATAAAGATATTATTTTTCTATTAACAATAAAAAGAAAATTAACATATTAATAGATTATAAAATTATAAAAATTATAAAAATTATAAAAATCATTTTATTGGTTCACAATATTTTCTGTAATTAATTATATTTTTAAGTTAATTTTTTTGACTTATTAATATTTTTTCCAAATTCTAATATTATACTAACTAATAAAATATAAATTGATGCTATAGGCTTCTAGGGGTGTCCACATATGATTTAAAAGATTCAATTCTATTGATACACATCATCACCTATAGTTAATTATATATATTAAAATTAATTTAATTTAATTTTTTTTATTATTAGTAAAGTTTCTGAATTTCAATTAATTTTTATTGCTATTAGGAAAATTTCTAAATTTTTAGATAATTATTAATAAAACAAGTTTAGCAATAAATATATTATTTTTCTATTGAGAATAAAAAGAAAATTAACATATTATTAGATTATAAAAAATCATAAAAATTATAAACAAATTATTTTCATTGGTCCACATCATTTTCTATAATTAATAATATTTTAAAGTTAATTATTGTTTGTTTTTAACTTATTAAGAAAATTTCCTAATTTCAATATTATATTAATCTAATAAAATATATAAAGATAAGAAAATCATGTAGAATAAAAAAATGAACTTAAGATAAGATTAATTTTTTTATTGATTAAAAATAACACTTTCAATTATATAAAAACCATCTACCATTAATAATAAAATGTTTTTTTACATATAATATAAATAAACTCATGTTTTAAAAACACTTTATTTATTATAATATAATAATTTTATGGCCATTGTTTGTTATAAGCTATTACAAAGATTAATTATTTTAAAAATATTTTATACCTATTACTTATAAAAATTAAAAATATTTGAAGGCAATAATATTCATATATGACTTGAAACTAATACATAACAAGAATGAAGCCAAAGATGATGAAAAATTTTTTTTTTCTTTGGTTAGAATAATTAAAGTATTATTGTATATTTTCATATCAATATTATGTTTATTAAATAGAATTTGATAATTTTTTACACTTTTAGGTGGCTTTTTGGTATATTAAATTACAAGTTTTTGATTAGAAAAAACATTTTTAAAATTAGACATATACAATTTTTAATAAAAAGGACTATAAAGACAAATAAAAAATTATGATTTGAACAACTTTATGTCATTTTTGTAGCATTTACAAAGACAAATATATTTTTTTACAAAAACTTGATCTAAAATATATCTTGACATGATAAAATGCAATCTCAACTAGATTTTGTTATATACAAAATTTCTGTATTTCAAAGATATTTAGTATTGAAAGATTGATCGGCTTTTATTTGTTGACTAGTGTTTTGTCCACGCTACGCGTGGATTTATAATTATATTGTAGTTTTATAAAAAGTTGTCAATTAATTTTGTATTTAATATTGTGATGAATTATAGAGTAGTATATTTGCATGTGATTCTTAGATATAAAGTGAAGTAAATATCAGAGAGATGTATATATATATATGTATATATGTGTGTGTGTGTGTGTGTGTGTGTGTGTGAAAAGATAATCAAAATTTTTATATAATAATTTTAAGGTAAATCAATGTATTTTTGGCTTAGTTGAACTTGTTTTTAAGAGTTAATGCGTATTTTTGCAAATATAAAAGGTAAAGTTTGACCATTTTATAATATATGCAATTTTGATGTGTATTTTTGTTATATTTTTTGATTATGTGAGTAGTATCTATATAAACTATATAATATATTAGAAAACTGTTGTCTAAATTTGGACATGTTACGTTATAATGTCATTTCTTTAGTGAACATCATGGGTATTGTTTTACACTTTTTTGCATAATCTTCCCTTTTGTTTGATGCTTTTAAAAAGAAAAACTCAATTCTTACTTCGTTATTCATGAACCTTAGGATTTTGTTTTTAATTTTTATATACTATGCATTTTTCTACTTATCAATTTTTAAAGATTCAGTGTATACATAGATAATTTATAATTAGTTCATATATTCAACAAATAAAACAAATGGCGATTAATAGTAAACTTCTTCATTATAAGAGTTCTTTATTAATTAATTGATATAATATTAGTTTGATAGTTTAGCTAGCTCGATCATTTGCCAATATAGGTGAAGAGTGTGGAAGTTTATAGTTATATGTTATTTGAAAAAAAATCAGTTTTATGTTTCATGAACTTTTGCAAATGAGAATTAAGAAATTGTGAGTAATTGTCTTCGATCACTGGTTCTTTAGTTATGCTTTTACATCGATTTCTCCATAATGTATGGTTACAATGAACAATATGAAACTCTATATCAGCTTTCAAAACTTGAGATCTGTTATAAGATCAAAAATTTACAATTGATTAAATTACCTTTCTCTAGAAGAAAGAAAACCGAGTCACTCCTCAAGTTTTACTTTTGGCGAGAAAGACGTTCTCCAGCTCCAACAATACTATGACTGAGACTTATTCTTGCTCGACTCATATTATAAATAAAATAAAAAACAGTTGTGAGATTGTATATTTATGTTGCTTACATTAATAGCATGAGACACATTAGACGTCATTTATGATAGAGCTGTATATTATTTATACCTTATGTGTCTCATTGCTATATCTTTCTATTTTACATCCTCATTGCTATGTTTTTTATGATTTCTAGACATTTTGGTCCATTTATTTAAGCTTTCTTGTTTATTGCTAGTTTGGTTGTCAGTAATTAAAGAGTAAAGTTTGTGTTTAGTAAAGGATGATTCCATTTCTGGTGAGTTAGAGGCGAGAAGATTAAAAATCGAGAAGTATAGCAGTTTTGGAGCCTATCATTGGGTTATTATTTTTTGCTGATGTGGCCAGTAGCGAGGCCATAAATTAATTTGACTGGGTTCAATGATGTAAAAAAAATCCAGATTTGCCACCAATAACATCCGATTTCTTTAAAAACTAAGGTAATTTTCAAAATTATATGGGTTCAATTGACACCATATTCTCTCAAGTGGACTCGCCACTGGATGTGGCATACCTTAGAAGCCTTGAAATCTTGTTTTTGTTTTTTTGTTTTTTGTTTTTGTTTTCGGCTTCATTCTTTATTCCTTTGTTGAGAATTTAAGAATTATGCAAGTTTTTTTTAGGCAAAATTTGAAAAAGTTTTGATTAA